ACTGTCCAACAGAACTATGTAAATTGCATATGTCATTTAAAATTTCCTAATAGCCATACTTAAAGTTAAAACAAACAGGTAAAATTAATTTTAATAGCATTTTATTTAATCCAGTATATCTGAAATATAAATAATTCAACATGTAATCAATATAAAAATAACTGGGCTATTTTACTTTTTTTCTATGAAGTTTTCAAAATCTAACGTATATTTTAAATTTACAGTACATCTCCGTTCAGACTAGCCGCATTTTAAGGGTTCAGGAGTCACCTGTGGCAAGCGGCCACTGTACTGGAAAACACAGATATACAACCTTAAATTGCTCAGAGCCTTTTCCTGAGTCACAGATGCACCTGCCCATGAATGTAATGAGAAAGACCTGTAGGTCTCCTGTGTCCAATCTCATGGACGGTGAGACAAGCACATGGCCCTGCTTCTGTTTCCATCACTGCAGTGGTCGCTGTCTCAGTGTGTTTGTCCTGAGACTTAGGAATTCCCAAAACACAGAAATTTATTGCTCACAGTTCTGGAGGCTGAGAAGTCCAAGATTAAGGCACCGGCAGGTTCAGTGTCTGGTGAGAGCCCCGTCTCTGCTTCCAACATAGTGCCTTGTTGCTATGTTCTCCAGAGGGGATGAGAGCTGTGTCCACACGTGGAGATGGAACAAACCCATCTCCTCAAACCCTTTTATACTGACCTGATCCTACCCATGGGGGCTCCACCCTCATGACTTTGCCACCTCCGAAAGGCCCCCTCTTCATGCAATTACATTGGTGATTAAGTTTCAACATACAGTTTTGGGAGGACACATTCACATCATAGCAGCCCCCTCCTTCAGGGGACCCTTCTTGTCAGCCCTTCCTAAGGCCCGGAGAGTGTTGCAGGATATTTTACCAGGTTGACCTCTGTGAACTTGAATGCTCACCATCCCACTTTTCTGTTTCTCAGCGTGTTCTCCACTGCTTACTGATTTAATATCATCTTTATCCTGGGATTTATTATTTCTCAATTTCTCTAAGCCTTCCTCTGCCTTCATTCTAGTAGCTATAGAAATCCACCTTGAACTCGAGGAATATTTTGAAGGCCCAACCTTCTGCCCTCATCCTACATACTTAACCATTTGAGCGTACAAAGAGGAAGTAATTTAATTAACACATTTGTTTACCACTATCTATATTATATCTTATATGTTGGCTTAAGTTATCTTCATCTTTTGGCTTTAATACATAACACTTTGCACTGAAAGAAACCATCAGTATTTTTCTTACGGCTGTGGTAACAGAAATGTGACAGTGCAATCACGTGACGACACCCAGACACAGTGGAGATGCTTCACTGTTTCTTTGGGACGAAAATCAAACATTAAGGCTCTGCTGCTGGTTATTTGTGTACAGAGCAGGTTCACAGCCATTGGCTCACTAGTATTGCAAATTGAAATCTAAGGGCAGAATTTCAGATAGCATTTTCACATTTGTGACTTAAAAACAAGAATAAAATTACTTCTTCTTATATATTAAATAAAAGAAGCTAAGAAGAGTGATGAATGAAAAACCTCCGTCTATAATCTGATTTTTTCCACCACTCTATGATTTGAATATAAACTTAGAGATACCTAATTTAAAAAATAACTGTCTCTTTGTTTATGTTGATGATCTGGTAATTATTCCATGGTTGGGTTTGATAAATGATAAGGAATTTTGCCACCTTTCACAATATTTCAGTCTGGATAGCTTATATTCTTTGTCTATTAAATTGTTATAATCTACTAGTTTGAAACTATAATAAAATAATCATCTCATTAAAAGAGTTATATTTCTTTTTAAAATTACTTTTCCTTTTTGGGCCTTGTGGGAAAAGCTGTTAAAAACTCTTCTGCAATTATATAAATCTATACTTTGTTTTTGGGCTTAGATATTGAGGCATTAGCAATGAATTCACTTATAGAGAATAAATGCCTTTAAATGGAAGCGCCCCATTTCCTGAAACAAATACAATGATTTTATTGTTACTGTTTTTTTATTGTTGCTGTTGTCTGGGCTAGAGTGCAGAGGCGTCATTGTATCTCACTTCAGCCTCAAACTCCTGCCTCAAGTGATCCTCCTGCCTCAGCCTCCTGCGTAGCTGGGACTACAGGTTCACATCATCACACCCAACTAATTTTTCTATTTTTTATAGAGACAGGGTCTCACTCTGTTGCCCAGGCTGGTCTCAAACTCCTGGCCTCAAGGGATCCTTCCATCTCAGCCCTCCAAAGTGCTGAGATTACAGGCATGAGACACAATGCTGGGTTGTTTTTTTGGTTTGTTTCTTTTCTTTTCTTTTTTTTACTGATGATCTTTCCTCAGCAGAGACTCTGTTTTCCCCCTAAGCACTTGCACAAGTATTTTTCTTTTTCTTCTGAGCTGGGGTATTTCCATTTTACAGATAAATAAACGAACACTGACTCTGGATGAGCATATATAATAGATAGCCAGAATCAGGACTTTGAACTTTCAAACTGTGAACTAATATAAACTCTTAAAGCTCCTCCTACCACCTGACTGAATGGACCCCCTCTTGGCCAAGGGGATATCCTAAAACTAAATTGCTTGCCATGAGGGATGTCAGACATGCCTCACCATGCCCCCTCCCTTCTTGGAGACATCCTTTGCAACCCATTAACAGACTTAAGGGTATGCAAGACAAATCTGCAGGTCCTCAATTTACATAAAAAATATATGTCTGGTGGCTTGTCTCTGACTAACAGACCTCCTTATCTTAAAATATTCCAAGCCTTTAGACAAAGCTTCATGTCTTTAACCAATTACCAGTCAAAGAATCTTTAAAGCCACCTATAACCTGTAAGCCCACCTTTTTGGGCCAAACCAATGTATGCATTCCGCGTATTGATTTATGACTTCACCCATAACCCCTGTCTCCCTGAAATATGTAAAACCAAACTGTAGCCCAACTACTGTGAGTCCAGTTGCTCAAGGCTTCTTGGGTGTGGCTCCAGGTCGTGGTCCTCAAATTTGGCTCAGAATAAATCTCTTTAAAATTATTTTTACAGAGTTCGGCTTCTTTTCCATCGACAGAACTCTGACTTAATGAAACTTTTTTCAGACTTCCAGCTCCAAATAGATCCAGGGTAGACCCTCTTAGAAGTTCTTTTCTGATTTCTATGGAAATTACCCAGAACCCAGGTTTCCTGGCCATGATCTCCTGATCCTCAAACTTGTAAGAACCAAACGGTGTGCCCTAAGCACTCACTAGTTACCAAGGGGGTGAATGTGTGTGTGCTGCTGTGTGGGTGGAGAGGGCTACACGAGACCCTTTGCTGTGAGATGGTCGGATGTATTTGATGCATGTCGAAACTGGTGCAAGATCTGGACTGCGTATGCGTCTGCATTGAAGTGGAGGCACCCAAGGGGATTTCTCTTAGCAGCTCATTGAGCATAACTGGCCGGCTAGCTAAGGTTTGGCATCTCCTGATTTCAGATCTGACTTACAGTAAGTACGTGAATATGCCCCTGTCACCTGGCATAGTATTAGGACTGGAGTCTGAAGTAGGACTCCAAACACCTCCAATCAGGTAAGGGAGAAAAATCACAGCCAAACATTCCACAGTGCTCATGCTAAATCACTCCATTGTAATTATTTCACTTTTCGCCCCCTCCTTTCTGAGATAGAAGGAGGAAAAGAAAAAGCTCTGTTTCTTTAGGGTTCTTTGATGGAGAGGCTGCGCAGTTCATCTGGGCTTTTCCACTCCTTTCTGTGTACCAGGGCAACTTTCCGCAGTTCCCCGGTATCTTTCCGACGAGGCGCTGGGCGGCTTGCCCCGCCCCCACTCCTCTCCGGGACGAGCGCAGCGGCCGCTACCTGGCGGCTGCCGAAAGTCCGGGGGACGAGAAGGCGCAGCGTCGCCTCCTCGCTGCTCCTCCGGCCCCTTTCAGTCCGGCTGTTCACACTCGGCTCTGCTCCTTACCGCCGGCCTCGGCTCGCCGGGGGCCGTGCTGTGCCGAGGGTCCAGGGGGCTTGTATCCCAGGCCCGGTACGGCAGGCAGGACAGGGGGCGGCGGGGAGCGGGGCCGGGCCCGGAGGAGGGGTGGACGTCCGTCCCGGGGCGGGGACTGGTTCCAGCTCCGCGGCTCAGGGCGCGCCGGGGGTCGCCTCTGTGGTGTCCACCCGGGTCTCCTCCTCCGGGCAGCTCTCCGCGGCGCCACCTTCGAGCTGGGGGTCGAGTCCCGTGGGGCAGGCGGGGGACGGCGGGGGCGTGACCGGGGCGTTGGAGCGGGCGAGCAGCGGGGCTGGTGCCGCGGCCGTGCTGGTAGCTGGAAGGCGGCCCGAGGGGCAGCGACGTCTGCGGGCGGGCGGCGGACGCCAGGCCGTGGGGAGGCTGGAGGAGTCTCACTGCCCGGGCCCCGGCGCCCAGCCCAGGTCCTCAGCGCGGGGCCGGGCCCTGCCGAGGAGCAGCGACGCCCCCGGCTGCGCTCGCGTTTGTCCCGCGCAGGGGACTTGGCGACGTCCGTAACCTCGGCTTAGGGTGCAACAAGTCGCCTCGAGAGACTCGGGGACTCGAACCCGCTCCCACGGAGAGCGGCGGTCGGCTGTCCCCTGCCTTCACAAAGTTGCTCGGGCACTTCGATGATCGTCCAGAATTGGGAGGAAGCACAGAGACCGCGAGGTCCGCCCGGCGAGGGCGCGTCGAGGACTCCGTCCACTGGAAGGGCGAGCTTGAGCGCAGCGGCGAGTCCAGCGGGTGACAACTCAGCCCGGGAAAGGGTTAACCGCGTTCTGCCGCGGGTCGACACGTAAATAGAGAGCAGCTGGCGGCGCGGCCCGGCGGCTCCTTTAAGTTTTTGATTGGCTGCCAATGACATCACCGCCCGCGCTGTAGCGCTGAGGACTCGGAGCGGCGTCCCATGAACCCGCCTCAGCCAGGCGAGGCCACGCCCTCAGCCACGCCCCCGAGGCCGCCCATTGGCCGCGGGCCTCTGTGAGGTAGCGGGCGGCTGGCTCCTGATTCTTATTGGCCCAGCGCGCCGTCGGTCGTCGGCCGGCCCGCCCCCTCAAAACCGTACATTTACAGTGTAGCAAAAGAGAAAGTAACTATGTTGCCGCTGGAGATCAATGAAGCCCAGTGAATGGGGCTGAGAGCGCGAGTCCGTGGCTGAACGCAGCGCCGGGTGGTGGAGGGCGGCACTGACCTACCAAGTAAGTGGAAGTTGCCGCAGCTGCTCCTGCGAGCCCGGGATGGAGGAAGAGTGTAGGGCAGGGCTCGCGTGTGAGTGTGTGAGTGTGAGTGAGTGTGAGAGTGACTATGTGAGTGTGTGTGTGTGTGTGTGTGTGACCAAGCGAGTGTGACTATGTGAGTGTGAGTGTGAGAGTGACTATGTGAGTGTGTGTGAGTGTGACCGTGCGAGTGTGACTATGTGAGTGTGTGAGTGTGAGTGTGTGAGTGTGACTATGTGAGTGTGAGTGTGAGCGAGCGAGAGAGATGCGGTGCTGGCGGAGGGGGCCGCAGCAGGTGAGATGACAGGTCCGGCCCGGGCTCCGGGGCCCTGGCGTTTGCTCGCTGCAGTCTGCTTGGATTTGGGGCGAGGAAGAGGTGTTCGCTGGGTGCTTTGCGGCAGTTTTAAAAGCCCGAGCTGACTAGTGCGCCGTGCGCCGCGGAGGGGGATGCTGAGTGTCCCCGCAGTGGGGAAGGAGCAGTCTCTAACCACTTAATTTCTCTCCAGCCCCTGCCTGGCGGTGGAAGGGCGGCTAGCGAGGGAGGGGAGTTCAGCATTTCCCGGAGGTGTCCTGGGCCAGGCCGGTTGCTTTCCCGGCGATGTGCGCCCGACCCTCCGCTGCAGGGACGCGGCTTTCTCTCCACACTCCGCGCGCGTGTGTGGCCGCGCGCTCTTGCGGGGCTGGGGTCCCAGCGTGTGTCTCTGGGCCCGCTTATGTGTCCCTTTCAAAGGAAATGGACTGTTGATCCTGGACGTGCCCTCCCAGGTAACACAATAGCTAAGACTTTCACCGCTGATCCCGCTGGGAAACAGTCATAGCTTCTGGAATAGTACCGGCTCTTAAAAAAAATACTACGCAAGGGAGGGAAGAAGGGAGGGAGGAGGGGGTTGGATCCTTTGCTCCCATCCAGAGGTGGGTGAGAGAAACTGGAGTCGGTGGGGCTCTGCCGACGTTCTGGGTGCGTGCCCCTGTGTGTGCGCGCGTGTGTGGATTCTGCCTGTGACATTCGGTTCTGTGTCAGAGAATGGTGACGGTCGTGTGTAGATGGGGGATAGATGACATTTTTTCCAGACAGCTCTTGAAGTTCGTTTAGGTGAGCGGCTTTTGCTCGGGGTTTGGTTTCTTTGCTGTGTGCATGTCTACGAGAAGGAAAGGAGTTAGCAGGGCCGGGTTGTAGAGTGCCCCTGTGCCTACCAAGAGGAAGGAGCGGTCCCTTTGCAAACGCCCTCTGAGGAGACCAGAGGCAGACCCGTGGGCAGCCCTTCACTGCCCCCTTCAACAGGGACAGGCTGATTGGCAATTCTTCTTTATGGAATCCATACTCTTGAAGTAGGGAGGAGAGTTGTACGGGATTGAAATCTTACATAGAGTGGCTGCCTCCCATGAGAGAAGCTCTAGGATGCACAGTCGTGCCAGTGCGGAAGATGCAGAGCGGAGGAGAGAGCCCAAGAGGTCCTTTCCTTAGAGGCAGGAGTGGGGGCGGGGGAACAGTGGGTAATGGACCTGCCAGGATTGGGGTTTCCAGATCTGGCTTCTTGGCTTCAGACTTCATTTTGTTATGAAAAGGGGAAATGCAGATTAATTTATAAGAGGCTAACAGAAAAAATGTGAGGTTTTAATATGACTATGGTGTGCTTTTCAAAGGACCCTGTAGAATGGAAAGTAAGAACAGTTCCTAGTTAAAGAGATTCACTTACGGGTATACTTTGATTCCTATTTGCAGAAAAAGTTGACATTCGCCCTGATGAGCATGTTTCACTGCTGTATATTTCTGTGAGCCATGCCAGTGCTCTTGGCTGTCCCTTTGCCTTTGCAGTGGGTGAAGGAATTAAATGGGAAGCATGCAAGGGTGGACAGATAGGTCTTTCTCAGGTGGTTATAGTAAACTTCTGCCTAGGAGATGAGGTCCACAATAGATGCCTCCTAAGAACCTTCCTTTCTGTCTTCAGCTTTCCAAATTCTTTGTGCTTTTTCACCTTCTCTAAGGCTGAAATTTGATGTAGGTCCAAGGAAGGTTGTTCATTAACATTTACAACATTGTCTAAATTTCACCTTAGATTTAGCAACCAAATAGATGGGGACCTCAGGTTTGCATCTTCTTTGATTACATAAAAATGAGTTCCAAACTTTGACAGTGGCATGACAAAGGGCACTTAGGATGACTTTGCTCAGAGGGATGCAAGGCCTTTCCTAGGGATTGGATGAGACTGCCTTTTGTGTCACATGACTTTATTCTTTCTTTCCCTCTTCCCCTTCTTTACAGACTGTCTTGAGTTCTTCTTGAATTGCCAGTTTTCAGCCTCCTCATGCCTCCATCTCCTTTAGACGACAGGGTAGTAGTGGCACTATCTAGGCCCGTCCGACCTCAGGATCTCAACCTTTGTTTAGACTCTAGCTACCTTGGCCCTGCCACCCCAGGCAGTAACAGCCACCCTCCTGTCATTGCCTCCACCGTTGTGTCCCTCAAGGCTGCAAATCTGACGTATATGCCCTCATCCAGCGGCTCTGCCCGCTCCCTGAATTGTGGGTGCAGCAGTGCCAGCTGCTGCACTGTTGCAACGTACGACAAGAACAATCAGGCCCAAACCCAAGCCATCGCTGCCGGCACCGCCACCACCGCCATCAGAACCTCTACCACCTGCCCTGCTAACCAGATGGTCAACAACAATGAGAACACAGGCTCTTTAAGTCCATCAGGTGGGGTGGGCAGCCCTGTGTCAGGGACCCCCAAGCAGCTAGCCAGCATCAAAATAATCTACCCCAATGACTTGGCAAAGAAGATGACCAAATGCAGCAAGAGTCACCTGCCGAGCCAGAGCCCTGTCATCATTGATTGCAGGCCCTTCATGGAATACAACAAGAGCCATATCCAAGGAGCTGTCCACATTAACTGTGCCGATAAGATCAGCCGTCGGAGACTGCAGCAGGGCAAGATCACTGTCCTAGACTTGATTTCCTGTAGGGAAGGCAAGGACTCTTTCAAGAGGATCTTTTCCAAAGAAATTATAGTTTATGATGAGAACACCAATGAGCCGAGCCGAGTGACGCCCTCCCAGCCACTTCACGTCGTCCTCGAGTCCCTGAAGAGAGAAGGCAAAGAACCTCTGGTGTTGAAAGGTAATGCCCCTGCTCCCTCCCCAAGCACGGTCCTCATTAGCCGGGTTCACTTTGGGTTTTCTGTTGGAAGTGACAGCATTCTCCTTACCCTGGCTATCAAAGACCAAAATAGACCTTTTTCCTTCTCTTCCCTTCCACGCCTTTGTTTATTATTTTGGTATAGTGAGAACGGCCCACAGCATTGAACTGGAAGCCAGAAGATCTGGGTTCTAGCCTTGATTCAGCTTCCAATTTGCATTGTGCAAGTCATTTCACCTCCCTGAGCCTTCCTAAATGGGGCTTTATATCACCAGATGGTCTCTCATCTCAAGTCATGCCTGGTCTCATAGCTCTCTCTTTTGATCAATAACTAGTTGAAAAGTTATTGTCTCTCAGACTTAACCAACGTCGATGGAACAGAGGAAGCAGCAAGTATGATGAACTACAAGTAAACCTACAGGTACCAGTTCTTTTTGTGGGAAATTCTTCCTCTTTCTCATCTCTCTGACCAGCTTTGCTTTTATATGGTATAAAGTCACCTTCGAGAAGGGCAGGGATCCTTTATTATAAGGCCCCATGGAAAATATAAGTTCACCAAGTACATCCATTCCTCTGCCAAAGCTCCAAAGGGACAGAGACATTTTTATGAAATAGTCCCCAACCCATTGTTCTTTCTGGCCTCACCTGAAAACCTGTGGCATTGTGCCTCCACTCAACACGAAGTAATGGGTCACTTGCCCCAGTAAACTGGATGCAGATTAACTCTGAAGTTAGTGAACGGATCCCCAGCAGGAGGAATTACTTACCCGCTCTTCTCTGGGCTTCTTCCATACCATGTTGCCTGCCCTATCAGGGGAACCCTTATCTTGTGCCCAGCCCAGTTGTGCCTCTTTGCCCTCAAATACTGTGCTTTGGGGGCACTGCATATCACTCCTCTCGGTACCTTCTACCTGGTGGTGGGAGCAGGAGACAGTCATCTTCTTTCTTCTCTTCTTCTGTGTTTTGAGCCAAGGTACACAGTTTCTGGGTTACATCTTCAACCAGTCTCCCGAAGTGTGTTGACCAAAGGTGTTACTGGGTGCCTTTGAACACATTGTATATTTAAATTGCAGTAGGCCATTTGGGTGAGCAAGTTAGCTCTTTTGTCTTTGTGGCACAGCTCTGCCATGCTCCTTCTTGTATTCCCAATGATGCATTCTGCCTTTGGTTCTGTGGCATTCTTGGAAATGTGGTACTGAATTCCCTTGATATAATTCCCTCTTCCCACCCTCCACTCCCCGCTTTGAGGTTCCTCTTACTGGGCTCAACTGTCACAAAGGTATATTTTTCCTTAGGGCTGTTGGGCTCTGAAGGGAAGGAGAATATCATAGAATTATATGCAGAGTTCTAGAACCACCCAGGCATTTCTTGGTGGTGGTGGGTTTTCCCAGGGTCACAAATATGTTCAGATTTCCTCTGTGTAGCTCTGTATTTTATTGATTTTGCATTCTTGTTTGGTTGACTTTGAGTGATTCCCAGTAGGTTTACCTTGCTGTTGTTCTCTTACCATCTTTTTCAGATGAGAAAATCCCATCTACAAATTTTCCATTTGCAATAGTTTATCTTGGGAAACAAAGAGGAGGGTAGCCAATGATCTGGATGGTCTCCTCTTTCTTCACATAGAGCAAATGTTCTTGATAAAAAGCAGTCCTGTTGTGTCTGCATGATCTGAGGAGAAGTGTCAAACAACACAAATGACCCTGGACTTGAACTTGGGCATGTTTAGGAGGAGTTGTAGACCCTACCTTCTGTTTTGCAGTGGATGTTGTTGGGTGTGGGGGTGAATCAGAAGTGAATCTCCTGGGTGCTATAGCTGAAAGTGGGGTTCCTCTCCCCCTTTCCTGTGGATGCAGCTGAGATTCTGAGCAGCCTGGGCTTGTCCCTCACTGTCAGAGAGTAAGATTGCCCCAGTGGGGCGGAGCCCACACGCTGCTGACCTCACCACTGGGCGCCCTTGGCGGCCGCCCTGAGGGCTCGTCATTTTCTGGTTGGCGAGACACTGCCGCAGTCGACTTGGGAGACGCTCTGGTGGTAGAGGTTAGATTATCTGTAGCTTCTCGGGCCTTTTCTTCACCTGTCTGGGAATTTGGTTGAAAATATGTAGTGCAGGATAAAAAGGGTCTGTGATCTACATTATTATTACCATTGTTAATTTTGGTATCTTTTGGGAGAATGGCCTAAAATTGGGACCAAGACGGTAAAGAAGGGAAAGACATGGGTCAATATATTAGAATGTCCTTCCATATCCTTTCATCTGGATAGACCAGAGGTTAATACCACAGCACCCACTGAGGCAGAAGATGGGGTGGGCACTCCCAAAGGCATGGCTAGCAGCTTCTTGTAGGTTCTTGAGTGGATCAAACAGACCATTACGATCTGGCTTCTCGTCTAAGGTTTATTTTAGTAATCCCCTCCCTTGGTGATAAGATTGCATGTCAGCAAGAGTGATGTAGTGGTACCATTTTGGAAAGAGTGATTTTTGCAGGGAAGATGGGGCTCAGGGTTAGAGGAGGGGTAGGTAGAATATCAGGTAGAAACTTCTAAGGCCTTGTTAATTTATTTTCAGAGATTTCAGTACAATCTTGGGTAATTTATGGCTGGCCCATTTGATTCTCTGGGTTTTGTTTGTAAACACTGGTTGCTACCCTCCCTGTCCCAGTTCTGACGTCCCTGGTTTCACTGCCGCGCACTCCATTTTTGGAGCCGCCATCGGGGAGAGCCACTGCACGTTGCCATCTCAGTCATGCTGTATCAGGTTGGGAAGAAACTGATCAGAGGCACGGAAGCCTCTGGGATTAAGTTGCTGCTCTAATTTACAGTGCCCTCCCTGTGCTGCCCTGTGTCAGAATCCATGTTTTTAGTCTCCTTTTCTGAAGGAGAAATGGCATCAGACCTGTGCTTCTGTTCAGCCTCGTGAAAATGATCCAAATGAATAAATATTTAGGGGTTTGTGAAGTCTTTGAAAGAGTTACAGTCTCCTTGACCCACAGTTGATTTTTCATCAACTGAAACTTGGTTCCTAGCCAACTGAATAAAAAGGCGAGATAATTCTGGACCATCCATAAGAGCGACCATTTTTGCTATAATGTATATGAGGCTCCCTTTCTTTTCAGTAAAGTTGGGATCGGGGAAATAGTTTGTCACTTACCTATGTAGGAAAGGGTAATCAGTCTACCTCTGCCTTGTCCTTAAGGACAGTACATACCTTTAAAAAATGTATTATAAAATTTTTCAGACATATAGAAAAATATGTAATGAACACCCATATACCTATCAACCGGATTAAATAATATTTTTCCTATTTGCTTTCTCTTTCTTTTTTTGTTGAAATATTTAAAAATATAGACCACATTTTAATGTATTTAAGTATGTTTAATGTTTACACTTAATGTTTTAAATTTAATGAAGCTGTGAATATTTTATAATATAGTATAGACAACATTTTCATTCCCCAATATTTCAGTGTCGTGTGTCCATTTTTGAGCGTTTTTCAAAGTTAGAATCCCACTATGACTGACTGGCTGTTGGGTCTATAGAGAAGCTTCCCTCCTTCGGAGTGGGAGGGCTCCAGGTGCCTCTCTGGGTCTGTGTCTGCCCCTTCCTCCCAGGTATTTGGAGCCCATGCCTGTGCTTGCTCTGCGCTGTCACAAAACAAAGACTGACAGAGGGCTGCAATCCTTGCCAGGCCTGCTCTGTTCCAGAGGCAGTTATTGGGGAAGAAGGAAGAAAGGGAAATAGTTGAGGAGGCTGTTTCGTAGAGAGGTTCAATCACATAGGGAGTTAGACTTCTGTACTACTAAAAACTTTCCTTCGTAATTCTTGAGAAATGAGCACCATAGATTGAACATTTTTTTCCCTAGTCAAAAAGGAGTCTGAAATATACACGTGTAGGCAATGTAGAGTTTGATGACAAGGTGAATAGCTATGCTTGGAAATCAGAGAATCTGCAAAAATATTCTCTCTCTGCTTTTTTTTTTTTTTTGGCGGGGGGCGGGGCGTGGAGCAGGAGGACAAAATTCTCCCCTTTTCAGGGATGTTATGAGGATCTTTTTAAGGTATGTGAAATAAAGACATATCTACATTCACAAACTTGCAGTTGTTATTCTGAGCCTCTGGTTAACATCCAAGGCTAAATGTCAAACATTAGCCTTGTAGCAAAGGGAGAAGAAATTAACATAGAACTGAATCCCTGCAGCCTGGCCCTACTAGCTATGCCCTGGGGCAAGTTGCTTAATCTCTTACCTCCTTAGTTGCCTCATTAACTAAAAGAGGATATAACAACATCTATCTCGTAGTATTAGTTTAGGAATTAAATGAATTAATGCATGTAAAGTGTTCAGCACTGTTTTCACACGTGGTAAGCTCTCCACAAATGTAGCTCAGTGATATTATTACTATTGAACAGAAATGATGGTACCAGTAAAAAGGCCTTTTGGCTCCTCTTCCAAAGGAGTGCAAATAACAAGCTATGTGTAGTGGAGTGTGTGTGAGTGTGTGTGTGTGTGTGTGTGTGTGCTTGTGTGTTCCTATGGCCTAAAAATAACTTGGTGACTGTTACCCTAATTTAAGTGGCATACAGTTGGACTGCCAAGGAATTGCAAAAACACGTTGGGTCAAGAGGCCAAAATAATTTAGGCATATTCTAGAATTATTTATTTGTAGGAAAATGTGTAAAAATGTGATGATAAATCTGTCCATCTCATGTTCCATAACGAAATAATGAAAATATAAAACTTTTAAGCTTTGCTTTTTCTGGGCTCTCATCCGGCTGATTTATTTTTGGAATAAGGATTGTAGTCTCACTATAAAAGGGTAGATAGAAGGTGGGGGTGCGAGTTGGGTTCCTGAAGGCTTGGGTTGGGATGCGATGGTGGGTGAAGGAAAAAGGGAGGAATGAGTTGCATGGCCTGCTCCCTTCCGTGGTGAGTCCTGACCCTTTTCCCAGGTGCCTGGACTCTGTGAGCTTCTGGGGACACTTTCCT